GGGGCCGAGGTCGACTACATGGGAGTCCAGTGACGTAGCCATTACGCTTAACTGCTGGTCCCTCCAGCAGCTTGTAATACATTACTTTGACTAAATTTAGGCTTTCCCAGGAATGTAAGGCTTATTCAGCATTTGATATTAATCACTGTTAAAATTCACTATATTAATAAATAGAAGAACAGCCACATAATCATTTTAATAGATGCAGAAATGCCCTTGGTAGAATTCAGCGGTCACTTATTATAAAAACTCAGCATATTTGATAAAGGACATATATATAAATCTTATAACTAACATCATATTTAGACTGAATGGTTTAACTCTAAGACACAGAGAAAGGCATGACTATTTCTTCTCACCAAACCTGTTTGCCTTAGCAAAGCCACAAAAAAAAAAAAAAGAAAAAAATTTAGAATCGAAAGGAAGAAACCAAACTCTCTATTACTAGACTACATGATTGATTTCAAAGAAAGTTCATATGTGCTACCAAAAAAACCCCCAAAACCCCTACAATTTGCAGGATTTCCAAGTCAACATAAAATTGTCAATTTCAGGACTAGCAATTGGCATAATGGCTATGTTGCTGGACTCCCATGTAGTTGACCAGGGTTTGAGTCCCGGACCCAGTGGCTTAAACTCTCACCGAGTGCATGTGCGTGCGTGCCCAAGATCCCAAGAGGCGAATGGAAGAGAAGGGATTGCGGTGTGGCCGTCCACCTGGAAGGTGATTTCTCACTTTCTGTCTTTCTGTCTCCCTCTGTCAAGCACAAGTGTCCTATAGCAAAAACCTCTCAAAAAAAAAAAAAGAAGTTTCAATAATACCAAAGTCCACAATACTGATGATTGAGTTGATAATCATACTGAGACCATGGAATAACCTAGGGTCAGAGAAATGGAGGAAGAGGATATCCTGGCCAGGCACTTTAGATGAAGAGAAATTCTAATGAGCATCTGTAGGTGAATCCTGTCTCTACACTCAATCTGGACCCTTCTGAAGCTGTATGTCCAGGATTAAACCAGAGTCCATCCAGTTGTCCCCAGAGTGTCCAGTCCTTCTCTGGTTGCCACTAGTCTGGAGAAGGTCTTATCCTCTCCCTCTAATTACGTGGACAGGGATCGGTCAGGCCAAGGTTGGTGGTTGGTGGCCTGTTGTTGGATGATCTTTCCAGACTAGAGAGTGCAACCCGCAACTGCTCAGGGCATCTCTGGTTTGGTGGATAGCGATGTGCAATCAGCAAAGCCACAAAAAAAAAAAAAGAAAAAAATTTAGAATCGAAAGGAAGAAACCAAACTCTCTATTACTAGACTACATGATTGATTTCAAAGAAAGTTCATATGTGCTACCAAAAAAACCCCCAAAACCCCTACAATTTGCAGGATTTCCAAGTCAACATAAAATTGTCAATTTCAGGACTAGCAATTGGCATAATGGCTATGTTGCTGGACTCCCATGTAGTTGACCAGGGTTTGAGTCCCGGACCCAGTGGCTTAAACTCTCACCGAGTGCATGTGCGTGCGTGCCCAAGATCCCAAGAGGCGAATGGAAGAGAAGGGATTGCGGTGTGGCCGTCCACCTGGAAGGTGATTTCTCACTTTCTGTCTTTCTGTCTCCCTCTGTCTTTCTAGCAAGCACACATGCCCTATAGCAAAAACCTTTCTCTCAAAAAGAAAAAAAAAAAAGTCAATTTCATCTCTATATGTTTGCAAAGAAAAATAGATCACTGAAAATTTAAAAACGTTACCATTTATAATCTAAGAAAGTAACTTCAGAGTCAATGTGCTGAATAAGAAAGTGAAGTAAAAAAGTTGAGAAATACGCTGTTTATGGATCAGAGCAGTGGATATTAAGATGCTGGTTATCCTCAAATTGATTTATAGACTTAGCACAATTCCCCAAAAACATTTTAGCTTTTTTTTTTTTTTTTTTTGTGTGGCTTCATAAGAACTGAATCTGTAGATTGAAAGACAAAGTCACAAGAATATGTAAAATAATGTAGAAACGGTCCGAAAAGGAGGATTCACTTACCTAATTTCAAGATGTTCTATAAAGTTATAATAATCAAGAGTGTGGTATTAGTAAAAGGATAGACACAGATATTGATGGATTAGTATAGAACCTCCAAACATAGACCTGTACAGGTATGGCCAATTGGTCATACTGACAATGTGTCAATTCAATAAAGAACAATCTTTTCAAGAAATCTTACAATAGGGAACCAGCAGTTAGCGTAATGGCTATGTCTCTGGACTCCCACGTAGTCGACCGCGGTTCGTGTCCCGCGTCCCGGACCCGGTGGCTTAAAACTCACGCTGAGTGTGTGTGCGTGCGTGCCCAAGATCCCGAGAGGAGAATGGAGGAGAAGGGATTGTGGTGTGACCATCCCCCCGGGGGTTGATTTCTCACTTTCTGTCTCTATGTCTCTCTCTGTCTGTCTGGCGAGTGCACGTGCCCTATAGCAAATACCCCCCCCCAAGAAAAGAAATCTTACAATAATAATTTGGCATCAAATTAAAAAAAGTTAACCTTGTTCAAGACTGCACATTTTATAGGAAAATTAATTCAAAAGAGATGATAGATCTATGTTTGAAACATAAAACTCTGAAACTCTTACAAGGAGTTAGAAAATCTTTGTGACTTTGGATTGAACAAAGCAATCTTAACTATTGACCTCTTTTCAAAGTTAAGAATAAGGCTCTGTGTTCAGTTTCAATAAGCATCATGCCAGAGTAAATAAATGTTTTAAAGTGGTGAGTTATGTGAAGAAATGAGAAGTAGAATCAGTAGATAAATTGTAACTTAAAATTCAAGTTTGGAAGAACTGCAAAATGAGGGAGTAGGTTTTAGTTCTATTGAGACATGTCATGGTCATAATCTTTTTGTAAAACTGTGAACTCTATAAATTCAGGCATATAAAACTTCTGTGTGTTCATCAAAATATCTGTATATCTAATATTTATAGCTTGCTGGTATACTGATGTGTCATTATGCTAGTATTGACTGGAAATAATTTTTTTCTTTTAATTAAAAAAAAATTCTTACAGGGTCCATGTACTAGCCAGAGAGTGAAAGACGGAGGAAGAAGGGGAAGCACCCTCTAATGGAGCATGGTCATGCTGCAATCCCTTTTCCATTTCTCCATCCTGTTGGGATTTGGGCACACATGTATATATGCATGTTTCTCAAGCTTCCAGAGCCTGAATTCAAACCATGGTCAGCCATGTGGGTTCTGTCTTATAACCTTTTGGCCACTGAGGCAGCCCTAATTTTTTTTTATTTTGGAAAGATTCTTATATTCCTGGTAGCTTGTTTTTTCCCCTTTGGAAATATTTTAAAGTTTGAGTATTCTTTGAAAAAGTTCATCAACATACTCATTTTCATTTTTACCTTTTTTTGGTCTTCCAGGAATGCTTCTTGTCACAACAGACACCCTTGGTCATGACTTTCATGTCTTCCAAATTCTGACTCATCCTTGGTCTTCATCACAAAGTGCTGTCCACCATCTATACACTCTTCACAGGGGAGAAACCGAAGCCAAAGTAAGTTATATATATTTTTTAGAAGGTGAAGTGTGTTTGTGTGTGTGTTTGTGTGTGTGTGTGTGTGTGTGTCATACTATATCTAAACTAGCTGGTCATTTATATCACAATGGACCTTAATGTTAGTGAGAAAATTGCTTTCTGTGATGGAATGAATTAGATATTTGAGAAACAATACTCCTTTTAACTCACTAAATACATAAACAATAGATGAACATTTTATTGTTTAAAAATTTTGATGAAACACTTGTTAAATTTATCCTTCTCTTCCTACTCTAAAAGCACTTCTTGCCCTGGAGAAAAACTCTGTCATTTATTTTATATCTATATCTATAGATGTATCTTTTCTAGACGTTTTAATTCTATATATGTAAATAAAGATGTAGTCAATATATACATACATATGCACACATAATATACACAAATAAATACATATTTATTTATACAGAAAATGATTTCATTTCATAGTGGATATGAGTATATGGATGTACTAGAAGTAATTTACAATGGCTGCTGAGAACCAATTATACATGTCTCTACTCACCACTGCATTTAGTGGTACCACACTGGTGGTGTGAAATTCTCCTAGGTAGGAATATTTGATTGTAAAAATTGGCTACAAGTCAGGGCTCTTTTTCCCTCAGAGACTCATTTTTGTATATTTACCTTCAAATTAGTGTACACATGCATGGGCACACATATACGTATATATAATTTACTGAATATATGAGACACCATGCCAAGGTTTTACATATGTTTAATATTATTAATATCAAATAGTAAATGCTGTACATTAGTAGCTCCAAGTCCCAAATGCCTTTTTGTTTTGTAGAGCCAATGCTCTACAAAAGTAAGTTCTGACTTTCTTACTTCTGAGAAGTAAGTTCTGACTTTCTCTGTCTCTGGTGAGCACACACACCCTATAGCAAAAACTAAAAAAGAAAAAGTTTGTTTATTTCCTCACAAAAATGAGAGAGACAGAGATCGAGAGAGAAAGAGGCATTAACATCACTGCAGACTGGGTCTTGATGCTGTGATCCAGCCCCAGCATCTGCCAGACCTGGATCTTGGGCACATATATGCTTGGTATACTCAGTGAGGTCTCAGAATGCAAACCTGGTACCTTCCCATGTGGGTCAGCCTCACAGAGTCTGGTGTTTGACTGTTGCTTCACTGTCTGGCCCATTATTTAACAGTTCTTTTTAGTCCTGTCCTGGCTGTTTTTGTCATTGATGTGGTGTGTCTCATCAGTAACATTTTGGAATTTGGATATTTTAAGCCCTTGATACCTATTATTATTACTACTAATTTTAAGACAGGGCTTTGCCATGTCATGATCCTGCTGCCTCATCCTCCTAGCTGGCACTACAGGTTTTTCTTCCCTCCCTCTGTCCTTTCTTACCTCCTTTAATTCTTTTCTTCCATGAATGAAAAAAGAGATGGCCCAACAGGGTCCTAATGCCACAGTCCACCCCAGCTTCAGCCAGGCTCAGATCTTTGGCACACATGTGCCCAGAGTACTTGGGAAGATCTGCGATTGGGACCTGGAATATTCCCATGTGGATCAGCATCTCATCTCCATTCAGTATTCAGTCCCTTGCTTTTTATTAGACAGGATCTTGTTTGTTGCTCAGACCAGCGTGAACCTCAAGATCTTCCTTCCTCAGTTTTCTTGAGTTGTTATTAGTGGTGCATGCCACCACACCCTACTTTAGGTTGGGACAGGATTCAAACCCTGGCCTCCCATGTGGCCCCAGCCTACAGAACCTAGCACCTTTATAGCGTTGCCACCATGACTAGGCCATTTTTTTAAAAAGAATTATTTAATTTTATTTATCTTATTATTCTTATTCTTATTCTTCTTATTATTATTAAATTTGCTATAGGATGTGTGTGCTCACCAGAGAGACAGAGAAAGAGAGAGAGAGAGAAGAGTGAGAGAGAGAGAGAGAGAGAGAGAGAGAGA